GTAAAGGACTTTGAATGTACAGGGTTTTGTAGGGAAACACCTGTAATTTTTACAGGGATGAATTTCTCATAGGGATCGGGTGAAAATGGTAGAGCTCAAAATTCGCAGGATGAACTAGAGTTAGTATTATATTACGTGGAATTACATGGACAGCATCATCATTACTAAACTGATTGGTATAACGCGCGTATAACTACGCATCCACATTTATTTTAGTGGGTCGTAATCCCACATTCCTGGATGCCACCTCACGAAGTAGCTGACAGTTCCCAGAAACATACTACTAGAACATAATTCGGGTATGATGTGAATCCTCTGGATTCTGTCTGCGGATTTTCTTGTGTAAAAGCAGGATGAATTTGATCGTTGGCAATAGCATCGAAATTAATCCATTAGATAATCCAGCCAATGAGATGCCTAAAAAATATTGCACACATTACCTTTATTGGTCTTCGTCGACGAGTTCACCTGGTGTCATAACTGCCAACTTGCTTTGGAAATCGTTGCATGTGATGCGAAGTATATATATGAATTTATCTTATGCCTACCAAAAATACCAAGTACGTTCCGGAACTTTCTGAATGCAATGCAGAATACACTACTGAATCAGAGAAAACGTTATGTCCAGAAACTTTAATAAATCTTAATAATACCACTGCGAAACTATCAAATTAATTATGGCGAATACTCGTGAAGTTGATTAGTATGATTACGAAGTGTAATGGCAAGAGAGCAAAATACGAGTTTTGTTTGTCTTCTATTTTTGCGAACAATAGGTTCGAAATTCTTATGCCAGCATTTAGCCAAAAACGAACAGGAGTAATAAATGGTCATATATAGGTGTGAGTGGGCGTGATAAAGAAAAAATACTGTGTTTAGCTGTATCGGTGATATATCTGTATTATGTAGTAGTGATGCTTCACGGTGGACATAATCCACTAGAGTTTACTTTGCAAGTAAATAATAGCGGGCCAAATAAGAGGTATGCACATTGCCTTTGAAGCAGTCCCACTATATCGACATAAAATTATGCCAAATGTGATATTTTTATGATGCATGTTGTAAAAAATCTCTTGGCATTTTTCCGAGACCGCCAGTCCCAAAAATTTCAGGCGTGTGTGATCGGTGGAAACTCTGATTCGGCACTTCATCCCGCTCTGTTTGTATGCCTGTGCATCACCTATCATATGGAGAACCAATCCGATTGTTAGCTTAATTTATTTCACGAAAACTAAGAAAGATAATTTTTTTAAGTGTATTGGCAATTTTTCAGATTGATCAACATCAGAATTCCATCGTTAAGAGTTTGAGACTAGCTTCGAGTATGGTGATCATCATCGAATTCTTTTCTATATAGAATAAAGTTCATTATAAAGTGATTGCAAAACATTCACTGGTGTAAGCATGTGCTACGTTAATTCCGGTAGTTCAACAGATAATTATGCATGCATAAAGGCGAATTTTCAATAATTATAGAGTTTACATAATTAAAGAATGCAAATATTTAATATATTTATTAAACAATGTTTACTAAATCGGAACTACACAAATAAATAGTAATATATAACGATAATGCCATCAGGAGAAGTTTAGGGATCATAAAGACAGGTTTCAAAATGATAATGCATCGGTAATATAGCAAAGAAAGTAAATGCTTGGCCTTTACAATCACCAGATATGCTACCAAAATACGGTTAATAATTGTTGAGAATTTTAAAAGAATAGTGGCAAAATATTTCCTAAGAAAACATAAAGAATATGTCCAAGATTGTACTACCATTTTTTATTTAAAAAAGGGTTATCCGTGTATATATGCCTCCAGGTGTCAGTGTAATACGTGATTAAATTAATAATATAATTTACACTGACACCTCGCTATCTTGGCACTTGTAATGACAAAGATGCTTTAGAATAGATAAAATGACTAACTAAACGACAACGAGAAAGTGGCGTGATTGTAAATGGATTGCGTTTATTGCACCTCAGCGCTAATGATTCTATTAAAAATTAGATCTTCGCGACGATGAAAACTATCACTATAGATTTCAGTATCTACATAAAAAAAAAGTAGACATACTACCATAGTTAAATATATGTAAAAATAATTTCACCCGGATATGATGTTTGTGACTGTCGTAAAAAAAAAGCAGCTTATTCGGGCCTATCGATATTACCAAATAAAAATTGGATACTGTCTTCTTGTCCCTCAAAATTGCTGGCTGGGCAATATTCTATTATAACTTATTACGTAGTCATGGCAAAACAAATACGTATTTCTAAGATATAGGTCAAAAATAGACAGTTTTAGTTAGAGGAATGTAAATTTATGAAATCGAGCTACCGATCTCACATCTGAAATACATATTGAAATACAAATTGAAAAAAAATAATATCAAATACGAAACCTCATTGATTGGTGCCGGTGGTTTTTAACAATTAATGTTTAACATTTTTTCGTTTGTTTGTTTTTTGCATTAGACTTTTTAATTATTACGTACCATGTACGTATACATATCGATACAAATTTCATGTACGTATGTACGTACATTATGTAGGTTATACTATTCATCATCACGTTATTTGCATTTTATTAGAAAGAAATACACGAAAAAAAATGACTGACTGAAACCAATAACAGAATTCAATAATAAATACCGCCGATTACCTTTTTAATAACATGTATTGAGAAAGATCGAGTAATGAATAATTAGCTTTTATTGTGATCAGACCAAGATTTTTTGTTAAATGAAATCTAATTAGTAATATGACATGTGTGTTGATGTACAAATTTAGTGGGTCCCTGCTCTCTCTCTTCCCCTTTGTTCTATCTACCGTTTCAGCACTATCAAGAATATTTTCATCGTAGTGAGTTAAAGATTAATGATATTTGTGTATGTGTCTATGTGTTGATGCATGTATGTGTATGCTATACACGTTTAAGATATAATACGTAATAACGGTGATTTTAAGATTTACTACTAAATATCACACTATAGAATAATGAATCAATCACATAGACACGCATTTTTTTTAACTTCCTAATTTTATTTTATTCTATTCTATACTATTATGTCTAAAATTCGGCTTAATAAAAAATAGTGTTACACAAGCAAAACACGCATACACATACATATCGATACACATGTTCATACAACCGCAAAAAACCAATTTCCATATAACTCCATATTTCTATATTGAATCGGACAGTACAACAAACAACAATAATAACAATAATCCTATCTGGCTCTCCTCTCGAACACACAATCCCTCTCTCTTCGATATTTGACTTTGATAGACCATGTCTGATGTTTGACATATATTAAATATTTACATTGGCGTGTTTATTTATCGATCGATAACCGTCAAAGATAACGATAATGATTTTATTCATTCAACGTTAAATGAGGGACTGATTCAACGTTGATTATGTATTTCCCATTATGGATATAAATAAACATAACGCATTTTAAAATGATAATTTCTCCGGCCGGTCATTTTGGTCGCACACATGATTTCGATCTTTATTGACTCTATCGCTACATACTAATACAGTAAATATTAATTAGTTCAAAAATACCTGTTAATATGAAACCAATTAGCGACACAAGAAAAAACAAAGACTCGCTCAGATACACAAAAAAAAACACCTAACCAAAAAGTCATCAGTACTAACACTTTTTTAGCGGTAATTACAATTCTAAAACAGCTCACGAACAGTGACATAAAATCAATTAGCGTCATACATGAATGGACACGTACATGCGACTGCATGCAGACGGAAACAAAACTAATGGATTAACAGCATTTCTAATTTATCAATGGGACGAACTAATAATAATTATCATGGAAGAAATAATTTGAAATTCAGAGATTTTTAATTCGACATAAACTATGTGCAATTTGGTAATATGTGTGGTAATAATTAACTAATTTCTATTTCTCGTTCCTTTCTCTCGCTCTCTCTTGTCTCTTTTTCCTCCTTCCTTCCTTCTTTCTTTTCCTCCTCCGCACCTAAACACTTCATTTTTTTCGCTTTTCCCTTTTCTCCCTTCTACTGAACGAGAGTGCGAAAGACCACCCCTACCAGCCAACCCATATTATCTACCCCCGGAATAACATTCTTTCATTATTTCTTTGATTAATTTCTACCTTGCAAATGCTGAAACAACGACTACAGCTGCCGACTCCTTTTCTCTAACATAATAGATTAAAATCATCATATCATTATTCACTTACGCCCAATATATTTAATTATTTCCTCTTAACACACTCTCCTTCATCCGCCCATTTTTTTCTCTTTCAACTTGAACAATAATCTTTTATATACACACACACACACTTCCGACTCGAACTTGTTATTAACCCGCTAACCAAACATACTTTGCAATTGACTATCGCCAAACCGGAAAAGGTAACTATATTTATAGATTTTGAACAATGTATTGATTCTACCATTTAAACATTCTAGCACTTTCAAGATTCCCTTCACATAATCTTCTATGAAAATTCTACGCTTTATTTTGTTTGTTATCCACGACGACAAAAATTATTTCACAAACTTAAATGTTTTCCGTCTAATTTACACCCAAATTAATTCATCAAACAATTAACGCACAAACAAGAACACACCCTTTTACTAAAAATAGCAAGGAATAACCTTCAATAACATAATTAAAAAATGATGATGATGCAGTGTTTATTCTAACGGATATTATCATTGTAAATTACTCATTATTCCCTTCAACTTGTCTGCCTCGTCTTTCTATTTGTGTGTGTATGTGTGTATTGTGTAGTGTCGTTGTAATATAGAATGAATATTTTTATCTTGATTTTTAATTTTATTTTCCTCCTTCTTTTCCTTTTTTCTCTCTTTCTCGTCTTTTCTCTCAATCACACGTCATCGTAATTAACACCTACCAACCTTATTATCGTCGCCCTTTCTTCCGCCCGAAACAAGCAAGCAAGAAAGAATTCATCAACATTCACTTTTCCTCCGAAAATCACGCACCAACAATATACTTACCATTTTTATTTTTATTTCCAAAGTTTTCTCAAAGTGGACAAGAGTAACCCGGGACAACTTTTCCCGTGCTGTTCGTTTTCAAATCGTAAGATCCAAGACTCATTCACGTCAACACACACACATACAACTGGAACAATTTAGCAAATAACAACATACCAACCGAAGAAAGCGAGCAAGAACAATAATGCTCCTATCCAAAACAAGAACACAAGTAAAAACAACAAGAGGCAGCACACAAAAAAGAAGGATAATACCGCCACCTCGGACAATATGGCTAATAATGCTCGTAATTGGCGTGTGTCTAATAGTCTTTGTGGAGCTGAGTGAAGGATATCGTCATAGTCATAATCGTCATAATAGTCATTACAGAAAACATTCGAGGCATGGTTATAACAATAATAAATGGAAGAAGAAACTGGTAGGGGGTGAGCAGGTCTTACCCACTAAATTCATAACAAAGAGTAATAAGCATTTATCATCATCAGAACAACAACCAGAACCTTCAAATCCAACACATCTGAATTCATTAAATCGTCGTGCTCCAATTCCCAAATTACCTCTTCCCCCAGATGTAAATATCGGAACGGATATTAATATAGATCAACTTACTAACCCGTATAACAGCATTCCTTCTAGTGGAGGAGGAGGCACAAATGGTCAAAATAGTCAAAATGTTCCGAATTTGTATCCGACTATTACAGCATTCTCATCAGCACCAGGAGCAGGCTTAAATCCACCATCACAATCACCTATTAATGTTCCTGCTTCGAGAACTGCGCAACCATCAAATTCTGCCGCTACTCCTGACAACGCAAGTACTAATAATAATGGTAATCAAAGTACTCCAACTGCTACAGCCACTGCTGCGCCTACTGGTGATTCTGTTAGTGTGCCCGCCACAACAGCTACTGGTAGTCCCGTTAATACACCCGCCGCAACGGCTACTAATAATGATTCCGTTAGTGCACCTAATGACTCTGTTAGTGCGCCCACCACAACAGCTACTGGTAGTCCCGCTAATACACCTGCTGCAACGGCTACTAATAATGATTCCGTTAGTGCACCTAGTGACTCTGTTAGTGCACCCACCACAACAGCTACTGGTAGTCCCGTTAATACACCCGCTGCAACGGCTACTAATAATGATTCCGTTAGTACACCTAGTGACTCTGTTAGTGCGCCCACCACAACAGCTACTGATAGTCCCGTTAATACACCCGCCGCAACGGCTACTAATAATGATTCCGTTAGTGCACCTAGTGACTCTGTTAGTGCGCCCACCACAACAGCTACTGGTAGTCCCGTTAATGCACCCGCCACAACGGCTACTACACCTAACAGTGATTCTGCAACTGGAACAATAGCATCCCAAACAGGAACTGTAGATGCAACAACGGGATCACCTACTCCAACATTGATTCCAGCTGAGAGTACAGTAGCGGCATCATCGACACCTGCTTCTGCCACTTCAAGTTCCAATGATAATAATTCGAATTCTGCTTCTCCAACTGCTACAGCTTCAGGATCATCTAATACAGCATCACCAACTACAAGTGTAAATGCAGCTGAAACGAATACCTCGGCTTCTTCCCCGACCTCTTCAGTTCCAGGATCATCTAATACAGCATCACCAACTACAAGTCCAAGTGCAGTTGAAACGAATACCTCGGCTTCTTCCCCGACATCTTCAGCTTCAGGATCATCTAATACAGCATCACCAACTGAAAATACAAATACAGTTGAAACGAATACCTCTGCTTCACCATCTCAAACAACCTCGGCAACGACATCTGTTGCTTCTGCCATAAATACTTCGACTGCTACTACTAGTCTTGCTACTGCACCACTTGTTTCTGCTAGTCCTACAAGTGATAATGCATCATCAGCTACTGGTTCTTCAAACACAAGAGGATCATCAGACACTACCACGACTACTACGACTTCAACAACTTCCCGATCAACAGTTACCATTCCCACAGTTATTACTTCTGGTGGCAGCACACTTCCTGTAATGTCGGCTTACTCAATCGATGTCCCTTCTTCGATCTCACTCCCACCAACAAGAACAGCCAATCCGATTGCCATCAACACAGAAACAACACTCCCAATGGTAATAGTTCCACCAGGTGCGGGAGTCGCACCACCTGGCACGGTCATTGTACAAATTAAATTAAATTCCCTGATTTGGGCCGACGTAGTGAATAGCAGCACATTGGCCGCTCAGATTGCCGTGTTTCTACCTAAAGATATCGCGAATGCCCTTTCACTAGATCCCGCTCAGATTGTCATCATAAATTTAATAAATGTAAATGGCAATGTCGTGGTACAGATCGCTATTCCCTCTGGAAGTGTCACTGCTCTGAATAATGTGCTCAAGAATCCCACAAGTAGTTTTTATACGGATGGTACTCCGATATCAAAATTGGTTGATTCCACTTATCCAATTATACCACGTAAGTTTTTTATTGATTGATTCTTTTTCGTTTTATCACCGTGAAAATTCCAATAAATAACAATTTTTTGCATCTGATAAATAAAAAGAAAATGGACCACCAGTTTCATCTCCCGATAATCCAAATGCCTCAAGTGGCCTAAGCAACAATATAGGCTCAGGTCCCGGTGGATCGCAAGCAGCCGAAAAAAATCCCAGTAACAAAGGAATGGTGATTGGTCTCGCGGTTGGTGGCTCGACTGTACTATACGCATGTGTGACAGCGCTGGTAATTCGTGCGTACAAACGAAGTAAGACACGTGTGGTGGAACGACAAAATGATTTCCTGTACGGACAGGCGATATCATCACCTGTGATGCAAGAAAACTCGATGTGGTATCGGTGATCATAAATAATTATTTTCATGTTTGGTTTGTTTGGGAAAAATATAAAGAGATTAAATAGAATTAAAAATTTTGGTGATTATAATCGGTATATTTATTATATTAATTAGTATTATTATTGTTTATTGTTTATTTTTAATTAATTGTATTATATTAAAATCATCTAATTTCATCCCCCTGTCCCCTTCCATCATTGTCCCGTCCCCTTTATATTTAACAAATATATAGATCTGGGTCCATAATTAGAGTAAATAGCATTTGAATCATCATCATTGTGTGCGCTTGTGTAATTTTATATAGTCATTTAATTTACCACGATTTTTTCATGGATATACTTTTTTATTTATTTTAGTGATTCGATCTGGGAACAATTCCAAAATTCGGAATGATTAAAGTTTGTTCTTTGTACATGTATGTTTTTTTGGATGGATCTGTAGGTTTTTAGTGTAAAGTGGATATCGTGTAGTGTTTTTTTCTTTCGCTGTTTTCTACGATGGGTTTAGGTTATTTTTTGTGATAGAATTAAAATGATAGATCTTTTTCACGCACACACTCGAATCTCACAAATACACATCTCTGATTTTTTCACCATTTTTTGTACAGTTCATTTTTTTTATATTCATATCTTTACAATATATACGCATGTATCATCATTTTCCTTACATTACAATGATAAGTGCATTTTCTCACCATTACGTTCATCACATACTCGAAACTTTATTTATAATTGAATGGGCGGATAAATGGGATTAGTGCTTGTTTGGATTGCTTGCATGATGATAGGATGTCTTTTATCTATTTAAGTATGATAACAAATACATGCTCTATTTATTTCGAATATCAGAGAATCAATAATAACAGATAAAAAAAATATCTAACATCCTTGTACGCGTATTCTTTATAACACCATATACCAAATAATAATCATCAAAAACTACCAATAATCATTCATGTATCCCATCGTCGCTTTCGTGTAGTCGATGAAGACGAGGTGGTGGGTGGCATGTCTGCATTGTTATTCTTATTAGCAGTATTACTAGAGAACCCAGATGGCGATGATGTTGATGGTGCCTGTGTATGTAGACTTCCTAACGCAGGAGCCGAAGTTGTCGCTCTTTGAAAATTCATTTGAAATCGGGATGCGAGTCCACTACCACGTGTGCTACTACCTGAACTACTGGTAGTTAATTGTGGTGGCGGAGGGATTTCTGCACCGCCACCACCTCCCAGTCTAGGTGTTCCGCCAAGTGGCATCGCATTAGCGCTAGTACCTGTGCCTCCTGATAATTTTCCAATTTTGGTAAATATATGAAATGCAATATGAATGAACAATACAAAGATAATATTTATAACTAGAATAAATAGAAACCTCGACCACTACGTCCATGAGCTCTTTTACCACGCCCACGTCCTCCTCCTCTTCCTCCTCGAATACTCTGTCTAGTTTTCCTAAACCTATTATTCTACAAGATCATAATATCGAATAAATATATAAGTATACCTCGATCAATACAGTCATGTCTACCATCCCTTATAATGCTTACCTGCATCGCCAACTCCAATAAATCGCTAGGAACCGGTTGCCCAGAAGACTCCAAATTTCTAACCAAATCGCCTGCAAACTTGTCTTCTTTTTTGGTAATAAGAGTGTACGCGGTTCCCTTTTCACCTAGAGGTCACAAAATTTCGACATTAGTAATGTTCAGTTATGTACTAAAGAGCAGCAATTAATAAGTATCGACCTGCTCTCCCAGTTCTTCCAATACGATGAACATGTAAATCAATATCACGAGCAATGTCATAATTGATGACTGTTTTGACTGTTTTAATATCAAGACCACGAGCTGTTATACATTACAAGACACAAAAAAATCCATTGTTTAACACAAATATTCGTATTAGAATATCCAAGAATACAAACGAAGGTAAACTAACCTGCTACATCTGTAGCAACCAAAATAGGGAATTTGTTTTGCTTAAACTCACGGAGTACTTTGTCACGCTCAGATTGCATCAAATCACCATGCAAAGCGCCACCTGAAGAAATATGAGAGCGGCAAAATTCTGTTTTAGTTCATCTTTGTTTCAACTTTATTATGAGTACAAGATTATGAATTTTCACGTACATTGATGTCCGGAACTTTGCAAATTCAGCGAAAGTTCATCCACACCACCCTTGCGACTCACGAAAATAAGCACGCTTCCTTCTGCATTCGATAAAGAAAATTTAGTAATGACAACCAGATTTGAAAAAGCAAAGGTCACAATTAAAAATCAACTCTTAATTGTAATTTGGCTTACCGACGCAAAGCCTGACTAAATGTTTCATTAGCCAATCCCACTTGTAGCTATCATCGGCCAGAATCTCAGTTACTTGGGTGATATCGGTGTTTGCCTTCGGACAAGGAAAGAAAAAATAAAAAAACCGTAAGAGGGAACAAATTTAATATTCCACACGTTTTTAACCGAGATGTTCATTACCTGCCCGACATTTCCGATTGATATTCTTACTGGTTCTACGGTGACTTCTCTGGCCAGCCTCTCGACTTTCTTTGGAAAAGTTGCGCTAAAAAGCAAAGCTATATAGAGAGAGAACAAATTCATAGATTAGATGCAAATTTTTTACATGAAAATACTTGTTTTCTTTGCTACTCACTTTGTCTATCTGGTCGTAAATTATCGCATATAGATCGAACTTGCGGCTCTATATTCAATAACAAAAATTAATATTCATGAAAATTTTACGTAACCAGCAATTATTTGACCCAACATACCGAATCCAAGATCAAACATCCGATCAGCTTCGTCAAGTACTAAGAAACTGACTCTTCGAAAGTTTGTAGCCTTCATTTTAACCATATCGATTAACCTTCCCTATTAATCCAACGAAAGCAATATTTCAATAAAAAAATCTAGTATTGCGTAATGCGTGATATCGAATCAAAAACCATTAGAAAAATGCATACGGGTGTCCCGACAAGAATCTCCACGCCGCCAGACCTCAGTTCCTTGAACTGGTCCATTTTTGATGCACCGCCATAGACTGCTGCAACTCTGAAATGGTGAGTAAAGCAATGTGTGGTGGTTGTTTTGTGTGCAGACAGACATAGACAGACAGTAATATATGTGTGTATCGTGTTTGTGTTGTCCTATTAAACAACAATTGATGGTATCAAATTTTTTTTATTTTTTTATCTTGGTTTGATTCTACCTCAGACTGTAACTCTTTGCAAATTTTTTTGCTTCGATGTATATCTGATTGGCGAGTTCTCGGGTTGGAGCTAAGATCAATCCAATAGATCCTTCGCCTAATTATATTTCATTTCTAAATTTAATGCTTTCTCGGAATTTATATTACGAGTAAAATGAATAATTAATTATATGTAAATACCTTTATCGAGTTCTCCTTGATCCATAATATGGACCAGCATGGGCCAAATAAAGGCCGCAGTTTTACCAGAACCTAAATAAACCACCACCAATTGATCATCCAGTATTCTAATAAACAGCACTAAAATAACAAAATTTTTGTTCTCATTAACCAACTTGCCTGTTTTCGCAATCCCAATAATGTCACGACCTGATAACGCAACAGGCACTGCCTAAAAATAGAAACAAACATGATAGTTTACACCGAACAGAGAATAATAGAAATATTCCTCGTGAATAAAGTCGAACCTGTTTCTGAATGCCAGTCGGTTCGGAATATCCATACTTGATAATCGAATCTAACAGCGCGTCATCAAACCCGAAATGTGCAAAAGAAATACAAGGCTTTGCCACGTCCGCTCCGGAGACATGCATATCTGAATATTCGAAAGAATACATATTTTTTTTACAGATCAAAAGACAGGTCTCTATTATTTACGAGTGAGCAATCAGCGAAAATATACATGCCGAGTTCTCGTCGAATTTGACGCACTCGGTCTTCTGATAAGGCAGCAATGTCTGGATGTTCTTCGTAGAAATATTTTTCGATTTCTGGATACTGTATTTGAGAATGATCTATAAAACATTATAGTGAATTCAATTATCTATAATTAATAATGCTGGTTTTACAAAGTTTTGGATTATTTCAGTATAGATATGTAATTGTACCAATTGCAGGAAGTGGCTCTACGTCTTTGCGTTTTTGTTCAACTATAGGATTATCATCAGAGTCGTATTCAAGTTGTGCGTCGATCGCGCGTGCAGTAGCGTACACTTCATCATCTGAATTTGCATTCTGTTTATTATTTAGAAAGATTTAATGTGTTCACATATGGTAAGTAAAGATTTAGTTAGTATTACAAAAACAGAGATAATTTGATTATTTTCAAACATCATACCTCGTCTTTTTCAATAGGCAGTCGCTGATTTTTACCAACTTCAATACCCTTCTTCTTCATATGGTTCACATAACTCTCCACGAAATCTTCATCTTCAATGTCATCCCTTCGTACCTATACAACATAATAACAAGATTCGAAATAAATCTTTTTTCTTTGGATATTTTTTTTCTCATTCTATTTTCCCATAATTCGATCAATAAATTACTTTTTCTTCTCGAGTGATGCTTTCCCTGCTTTCTTTTTGTACAATGTCATCAATGCCAACCATAAAAGCGTCAAGAGGATCATCTTCGTCATCCTCTTGTTGTTTTGATACGGGAGGACCAGCAGCAGAACTTTGATCTTCTCTTCTCCTGTCAAAATTCATCATGATTTGTTGGCTAGCATTGTAACCTTGTGGTACAAACCCTTTGATGCCTAAAACAACAAAATTAGTGGAGTTTTATCAGCCTTTGAAAATGTAGAATTCATAACCAACAAACCTGTCGATGTCTTTGGCCAAATACCCCGTTCATCGTCTAAATCACCAACAAAATCGTCATTTTCATCAGGCCCCTGCTGCTTCTGCTCCCCGTCAAACTCTTCCAACTCTTCAGGGACCAACAAATCGTCGTCTTCATCTAATTTTACCAATTTCCGTTTTTTCGGTTTCGACGATGTCTCTTCAAAAAAAGAGTCGAGTGCAGGCGGCGGTTTCTGTTGTTGTGAGCTACTCTCTTCCGAGTCGAATACTGATTTTCTAGAGGTTTGTTGGGAGAAACCAAAGCCTAGTTTCCGAGACATTTTGTTCGTATCGAGAAAGAATTTACAACTTCCACGAAAGTTGACTTGCACAAAAAAAGACAAAATTTTGTAGATCTGGTTTATGACATGCATGTACAGATATGCAAATGGACTATCTTTTGTGGACCATTATACATGAGCATAGCGGGCTTTAATTTGATTGGATGATCGACTGAAATGTTACACAATATGCTCTACATATTAGCGTAACGTTT